AAAAAAAAAGAATTATAAAAAAAGAGTTTAAAGGGGTAGTCTCTAGGAAATGAGATTGGGAGAAGTGAGGGAAGTGAATATGATATAGTATTAGCTTTAATTTTTACCTGATTTGCTTAATTATACTACCTAATTAGTCCAATAAAAATAAAAACTAATATAAAGATAGTTGTAACCCACAGGAGAAACTATTTGCAAATCATATCTCTAATAGGACTTCTAGAGTATACAAAAATTTTTTATAACTAATAATAAATACAACAATTTTTAAAATGGGCAGAAGATTTGAACAGACATTTTCTAAAGAAAATATACACATAGCCAACAAGAACATGAAATGATGTTCATCCAATACCATTAGCCATTAAGGAATACAAATTAAACCATAAAGAAATACTGTATAACTACAAGGATGACTATAATAAAAAGATAATAATAACTGCTGTCAAAGGATGTAGAGAAACTGGAACTTTCATATACTATTAGAGATATAAAATTGGGAAGTCAATTTTTTCTTTTTTGGTGACACTGGAGATTGAACCCAGGGGTGCTCTATACTGAGCTATATCTCCATACTTTTTAAATTTTATTTTGAGACAGGATCTCACAGAGTTGTTGAGGCTGGTCTCAACTTGCCATCCTCCTGTCTCAGCCTCCCAAATTGCTAGATTACAGGCATGCGCCACCACATCTAATGAATGAAGCCACTTTGGATAATAGTCTGGCAGGTTCTCAAAATGTTAAACATAGAGTTACCAAATGAGCCTGTAATCCCATTCCTAAGGTACTAGTCCAGTAGAAATGAAAACATGTGGACACAAAAACTTGTACATTAACATTCACAGAAGCATTATTCATAGTAGCCAAAAAGTGGAGACTTTTGGCTAAACATCCAGCAACTAATGAATGAATAAACAAATGTATTATACCAACACAGTGGACCATTACCTGGCAATAAAAAATGATGTACTAATATATACCACAACATGGGTGAACACTGAAAACATTATGCTGAGTGAAAGAAGCAAGTCACGGAAGACCACAAACATGGGTGTTTGCAACAACATTATTTAATAAACTAGAAATATTCATTCATCAATAAAAGATTTTTAAAATAAGTAACAGTATGTACACACAACATATTACCTTTCAGCTATCAAAACAGAACAAGCCAGATTAAATAAGAACATTTAAAGAGAAAACAGTGTCTGCTCATACAGAAAGCACTCAATACACATTAACATTTGTACCTATTATGTGTGCTGATAAGGAAAGATACCTAAGATATATTTAGTAAAGAAAGAAAGGCATAGAACAGTTGGTATGATGTGGTCCCATTTACGTATGTGTGGTATAAACATGTTCCTATATGCATATGTATGTGTGTATACACATGTGAGTAGATACGTGTGTGTATAAATATGCGTGTATAAGTTTGTATATGTATATACATGTGTATATTCTTTTTTTTTTTTTTTTTTTGGTACTGAGGATTTAACCCAGGTGTGCTTTATCACTAACCTACATCGCCAGCACTTTTTATTTTTTATTTTGAGACAGGGTCCCACTAAGTTGCTTAGTGCCTCGCTAAATTGCTAAGGCTGGTCTCCAACTTGTGATCCTACTGTCTCAGCCTCCCAAGCAGCTGGGGTTACAGGTGTGCACCACCATGCCTGGTGAAAGTCTTTTTTTGAAAGAAAATATACTTCAATTACTTGAATAATCAACTCCTGTAGGATATTAATTCAATTCCCTGATGTGCAGGTAAATGAGGTAGTACCAAAAAATAAATTAAAAAAAGAGAAGTACTTCTATATTATAAGTAAAAATAAAAGAAACAATGTATTATAGGCACGAAAAGCATTTCAGTGGATGATTCAAGCAAATGTGGTATTCAAAGGTGATTCTAAGAACATCAGAGAAAGGCTTCATTTGGCAGGTTTGTAAGTGATGCCGGAGAAGGAAGACAGGTAGCAGTCAGTAAGATAACGTGGCGCTAAGAAAAGGCTCTATTTCAGCTAGAAAGAGAAGCTATTGTTACCTTTGGCAGCAAAGGAAAGGAATGAAACTTTAAAAGGTGAAAGTCTAGAACCAGTAAGGATACAAAGAGGAGATGAAGACAAGATTCCTAAAAAAACAAATACTTTAAAGGATCAATTTTATTTTAATCAAATATATCAATTTAAAACAATCTTTCAAAACAGTTTTCTTTTCTGATTATAAAAGCCATTAATATGCTCAATGAAGAATAAAAAGAAATTTAATGTCTAAATTTTTTAAACTAACATTTTATGTAACTTACCTCCAGTTTTTTTTAAATGCATTTTAAGCATATTCATAGCTAATGAAACCAAAATTTGGTTTATATTCATATATGTTTTAGGAACAAACATACACAGTTTTCTGTCCTGCCTTTTTTTTTTTTTTTTAACATAACACCATACTGACAATGCCCTCTCCAAAAAGATCATTAACAAAACGGTGGTAACAGAACTTTCCTACCTGATGCACATACTCATCCATACTTGAAGGCATGTCAAAATTCACCACCAGCTTAACACTGATCAAGTCAAGGCCTCGTCCCAGGACCCCCGTGCTCACCACAACTTCATAGTCTCCTTCAAGTAATCCCTTTCCAAAACAGCAACAAAATTTATTATTCAGAATTTATTTTATGTGGTTTTATGCAATTCTCACACCTTTTTTTTTAGAGAGAGAGAGGGGGGGGGAGAGAGAGAGAGAGAGAGAGAGAGAGAGAGAGAGAGAGAGAGAGAGAATTTTTTTTTAATATTTATTTTTCAGTTTTTGGTGGACACAATATCTTTGTTTGTATGTGGTGCTAAGGACTGAACCCGGGCCGCATGCATGCCAGGCGAGCACGCTACGGCTTGAGCCACATAGCCAGCCCCCTTTTCTTTTTTTAAAATCTTACTTCAATATATTTTTGCAATGTCTTCCCAATAAACAAGTCTTCTCATATCTTCTCATATCTGAAACCTACACCATGGAACTGACTCTATTAATTTATTCAGGCAAATCTTTTTCAGAAGTAAACCTGCTCTGCTCTAGGTCAAAGCGCCCTGATTTCAGAAATGTTGAATTCTAATTTAGTAATCCATTTAGTACAATTCCTAGAGAACAGGCTTACTGTTCCCAAAACACAGAAGCCTGAGCAAGAGGAATAATTAACTTCATGATCACTGCTTGCCTGATGTTCTCACAGTCATTAAAAAAAAGTCTGCTTTAAAAACCAGCTGGTAACATGTTATCTCTTGAAAGTGTGGCACAACAGATTTACTGCAAAGAGAAGATCCAGTATTTAGTGTCAAACCTTCAATATGTTTTTCCTTTCCATTTGTGACTTCTCTGAATGTATAGATGTGCTTTTCAGACCTGTAACTTTCTGAACTGCCTCACTCAACAGATCTGCTCCTAGTCTGCAGTCTACAAATACCAGCACTGGAGGCTTAAAGAGTTTCTTATCCTGAAAAAATCAAAAACATTTAAAATTATTCACATAACATAATTTACAGTGGTAAATTTTTCTGAAAGCATTAGTACAAGCTAATTATTGAAAGGTTTATAAATATATAAATACATACTATTAAGGAGATAAAAGGTATCTTCTGTTAAAATGAATATTTTCTTTAAAATATGCATAAACAGAAGCCAGTCTTCCACCTCTCACAGTTTTCAATCATTAATATTGCAAATGTATATTAAAAAATTTAAGTGTAATCAATATAGTTCTAAAGGCTGCTCATGAGCCAATACAAGCCATATTTAACTCAATAATGTGAGTGTAATTATGCTTGTGCATATTATCCACTTCACAAATTTCTGTTTAAATCAGCAACAGTTAAAAATTTCTCAAGGACAGAGGAGCCAAGAAATACTAAAATTTCTCAGAAAAAAAAATTCTTGATGATAATTTGATACATAAATACTTTTCTATAACAAGGGTAAGACAAACCCACCCTACATCAATATAGCATGTTTTCACAAATAAAAATTTATATGATCCTCACAGAATTCTGACAGATAAAGCAAATCATTATTAATTATCCACCAAATTCCTCAAAAAGTTGAATCTAAATATCACTCCCTTTAAGAGCTGTGAAAAATGCAAACACAATCTACAAAACATGGTTGACTGCTTCATTACTCACATTTAAGATTTCAAATAGTTTTTTCTTCTTGGCTGGGTCTTCTACCCACAGGATAATCTGGCGCACATTGGCACAGGGTAGATTCTTTTCTCCTGCGATCACTCTCACAGGATTATGCAGAAGCTGGCTAGCCAGTTGTTCTATGCTAGCTGGAATTGTGGCTGAAACCAAAATGGTCTGACAATCATTTGGAATGTTTTCCAAAATGTCAAGCACTTGTTGTTGAAAGCCCATCTTTAGCATGGTATCAGCCTAAAATAAAAGCAATCTGAAGTTAGTCTTGCTAAACATTAAATAAGACTAATATGATTAAAAACATAAATATTAAAAACACACAAGAAAATATACCAAAATGTCCAAAAACAAAGGATCAACAGGAAATCTTTTTTTTTTTTTTTTTTTGGTGGTGCTGGGGATTGAACCCAGGGTCTTGCACATACTAGGCAAGTGCTCTACTGCTAAGCTAAATTGCCGGCCCTCAAAAGAGAAATTTTTACATATAATTATAAACTGCACAACTAAATATTTACAACAATATACAAAGATTGCTGTTATAGCATTATGAATAATTGCAAAAAGTATACACATTCTAAGTATCTATCAATAGGGGACTTGGTAAATTATGATAAATCGATGTAACAACATTATGATGTCATGAAAAATTATCAGAAAGCCCTTTATTAGATAAGGAATGATTCTAGGGGAGCAAAAGCCAAGTACAGAACACTGTGGATAATACAATGCTATCATGTTACAAAATATTTTATGTGTATACACTCAAGAAACTTAATTGTTAACTGTTAACAAGGGAGAAACCTAGAGGGTTTATGGGGAAGCAATTTCACTTTTAAATTTTATTGCAAGGTTTTTATTTATTTATTTTTTACCATTAGCATACAGTTTATTTATAACAAAATATTATTTTAAATAAAAATTTTAATGTTGAGGCTGTATGGTCTGAATGTTGGTATCCTCCCAAATTACTATGTTCAAGTTTTACCCCCAGTGTGGTAGTGTTATGAGGTGGGACCTTGAGGAGATAATTAAGTCATGAGGGTTCCAAGGCTGAAGGGAGCTGCTCTCCCCCCTGCTGTGTGAGGACCTAGCAAGAAGGCACCATCTTTGAGGCAGAGACCCTTACTGGACATGGAATATGCTGGGGCCTTGATCTTGGATTTCTCAGTTTCCTGAACTGTGAGAAATAAATTTCTGTTGTTTATGATGGAACATTGAGAACACGTGCATGTGTGCACACACAGGGTACATTCTGTAAACATCCCTCGATGATCCCCCAAGTGCCACTCACCTCTCCTATCTGGGAGAAGCAGCCTCTAGGCCTTTTGAACTAAACTCCTTCTGCCTGTCTCCTACCAGCTCTGAAAGTTGTCTGTACCCGCCGTCTCCATTCCTCTGCTTTCTCACTTCCACTCACTGTTCCACCCACTACCCTCACCCACTCACCTCACTGAAGCTACTCTCTTCCAGGTGGAAGTCATTACCCATGAGCCCAAATCAAAGAGAGTCTTTGTCTCTCTTTAAGACACTATTTTTTACTTTTTTGAATAATAGAATATGCTCACTATAGAAAACTTGGTAGACACAACAAAGCAAAAAGAACTAAATTCACAATGCAGACAACCTCCTCCCTTACTTTCAGTCTCCGAGGTATGTCTAGAAGTGCCTCCCACAACTCCCACTCCACTGCTCTGTGAACCAGTCTTCTGGCTTCCTGGCTATTCTTCTCGTCCAGAATACCAGTCTGATTATAGTACATTCCTGCTTAAAATCCTTTGAGGGTTCCCAATGTGTACAGATTAAAGTCTGAACTCTCAAGGCCTCTTACAAACCACACACAGGAGGAAATATCTGAAAAGAAATAACACTAATTATGGTTATTCTAAGGTGGTAGGGATATGCACCCATCCCCATCCATTTGCCAATTCATCTTCAATGTGCATGGATTACTCATAAAACATAGTTGCCATTCAAAATGCATGATGGGCATAAACAAAAATTTTTAAAAACCATCAAAAAACAGAAGAAAAAGTATCAGAATAGAAAAACCACAAGTAGCTAGGATAATTATACAAATACAATATTCATGTGTTGAGTCTCCATCTAAATTGCATTATTTTGAAAGTATGAATCAGACATTGGGGAATCCTTGCTCATTTTTATTATTTATTTTTTAGTTGTAGGTGGAGACAATATCTTTATTTCATTTTTATGTGGTGCTGAGGTTTGAATCCAGTGCCTCACATATGCTAGGCAAGCGCTCTACCACTGAACCACAACCCCAGCCCCAAACCTTGCTCTTTTTATACCTTAGTTTTCCACTTATAAACTCATTTCCTACTTTAGAGGGATGTTATCAGGTTAAAATGTAAAAAATATACTTGTAAAAAATTTCTTCAAAATAAAAGTACTACATAAATATAAGGTGTTACAAACATTAGAACCACTTAAAATCAAAACAAAGCTACTCAGAAATGCAATAGTAAGTGGTAAACAGTGTAAGAGATGAGAAAAAGAGGTTGACACAAGTGTTCCCTAATTGTAAAACAAACTTTGTTCAACTTTTCTGAAAAATGTTTTTGATGTTGCTTACATTTCATTACTCATGACTTCCTTAATGTGTGAAAATGTGACTTCTACCTCTATTCAGGGTCCTAGGGATAAACATTTAATGGCCAAACCATTACTGAGTAGCTAACTGTGGTTCAGAATTCATATGAACTGAGCATTTACTATGTGCCAAGGACCTTTCCAAATGCCATACATATCCTCATAATAATCCTGTGAGGTAAGCATTGTTATGACCCTCATTTTACAGATGAGGAAACAGGTATATCTTACAGAATAATAACAAGTTATTAAGGGACAGTGGCAATCTGGCTGTACAGAATAATAACAAGTTATTAAGGGACAGTGGCAATCTGGCTGTAGAACCTGCATTATAAATATGAAGCTGAAATGCTGGTTGTCAGGTGGTCAAGGCACACAGAGACCTCACTTTCAAAGAACTTATGTCTAACAGGGAAACAGATGTGTCAACCCAAACTGACAAAATTCATACACTTAAAATACATATTTAAATTACCCATAACATAATTACCATCATCTCCTTCAAATACTTATATTCTTCCCTCATGGATTTTCTCCTCCCTAGTGGCTACTCTTTTTTTCAGACTCCTCTTTTCTGCCTGGTCTCTGTACGTTGGACCACCTCTGTACCTGGAAAGCCTCATGGGCTGCGTCACGGGCCTCCTTTGCTTCCTCTTCTATATTCTCCCTAGATAACACTAACATGTTCCATGGCTCTGAATACCATATACACATCAGAGTCCCCAAATCTTATCTCTGGTCACAACTGCTTCTCAACAAACAACTGCCAACTTAACATCTCCACTTGGATCAAACAGGCCCCTCAAATTTAACATATTCATAACAGAATGTTTTATTTCCTCCCTATTCCAGTACACATCTGGTGAAATGACATCAATAGAAATCCCTACCTCATCTCCTCTTCATTAATCACCTCCTCAGCAACAATGCTATTGACACACTAACACATCCCAGTACAGTCACTTTTCTCCAGCTCACACTGGAGGTGCGGCTCCTATTCCTGTCACCTTCCCTCCATGACCCATTCTCCTCAAGCAACCAGGGGGCTTCTTCAAGAATACAAATCAGATCTTATCACTGCTCTACTAAAACCTGCTAGTAGTTTCCCATCACACTTAGAGTAAAATCCAGCCTCTCACCAGGGCCTTGAAGTCCTACAAGCTCTCATGCTGTACACTTCTCTGACTTTATCTCCCACCACTATCCCTTATTGTCCTTGATGCCGCCACACCAGCCTTCTTTCTGCCCCCAAATAACCCACACCAGCCTCATGTCAGTGCATGTGCAGTGGCTGTCCTGTCTCAAACAGTCTTCCCTCCATATGGACCTCCACATGGCTGGTTCCTTCTCGTTCAGATTTCAGCATAAGTCACCTTCTCAGAGAGCTCTGAACTACCAATCTAAGGTAGCCCACCAGTTGTCTCTGTCACATTACTTTGGGTGGGTACAAATGCCACAGCCCCATGAGGCAGAATACTCAGAACACTCATCTATAGTACTTTCCACTGTAGACTCAAGGCCAAAAGTAGTATACAGCACATCAAAAGCCCTAAAAATGCATTTTATTAATAAATGAGCATTCCTTAATTCTAATACCAAACAAGCACCTAACAAGATGTCAGGTTATTACTAGTCAGTATGTCCTAAAGCTCTCTGAAGGTAAAAATCACCTGGAATGAGTTTTTAAAGATTCCTGGGCTCCAACTCAAAACTACTGAATCAGAATATCAAGTGAGAGTCTGATCTTGTATTATATTCACCAAGCATGCCAGGTGATTCCTATCATTAGGGAAACTTGGGTAAATACCATGCTTAATTACTGGGATATGGCTGAGAACACAGTGTAAGAAAAATAACAAGTTCTGTGTACAGTTCAACAGAGCAGAGAGGAAAGAAAGTCTAAAGCCTGTCTGGGGGAGTGAGGGGTGGTTTCAGAGCCACAGACACTCACAGAAGATAAATGTATCAGGAGAAAATTCTAGTCCAAAGGAAAGGTCTCACTGGAGACACAGAAAGGCAACAGAGCAGAGTTTTTTTAAATTTCAAAGGGATTATCTTGGTATTCACCCCTGGTCATTCCTGTGTCCTAACCCTCCTCTTGAAACAGTGGCTTCTCTCCTTCAAGGACAGCATTCATTCTCAGCTCCTCTCTGGTCTCTCAGATTACTCTGTTTACTGCTTTGTCTTCCAAATGCCCAAGCCATGTCTCTCCAAGCTCCCTCTCTTAGAGAAACCATCATGTCAAGTGAATTCTAGTGCACGCTTCTTACACATACAGTTTCACTTAGTCCATCATGCACACAAAATTCAACATTCTCAAGCCAAACTTAAATAGTATCACCCAAACCCAGCAGTTACCCACTTACCCTTTTCTAAAGTTAAAGGCACAACTTATAATTTATGGAGTCACCTCTGTCACTGCCTTCTTCTGCTGCTCTTATATTAAGTCATCAGGAGACTCATAAACAATTATAGTATTCTCATTTAACCCTTCAGTCCTACTGCCTCCACCCTGTCCCTGACCCCTTCACCCCTTGTCAGGATTGCTGGCTGCTCTGTCTCAGATTCTTTCTTCTTTAATTTCTCTTGTACCGAGAAGCAGAGTAACTTTCTTAAACCACCACTTTCAACATGTTATGCCCCAACTCAATAATTTAGAAAGCCTCATTGTCTCCCACATGAAATCCAAATTCCTCTGACTCCCTTTCAGGGTCCTCTATAATTTGACTCCACCCTAACCACCCAACTTTACTTCCTATTGTTTCTTGGGAAAAATTCCTCAAGCTGATTGGTCTCTTTCCTTTTTCCTCCACACAGGTAGTTGGACTTTCTAGCACTGTCTCTTCACTTGGAATATTTGATACATCCTTTATTTTCTGAATCATGTTCCCCCTTTTGAGGCCCAGGCTAAATGCTATTACCTCTGAGAAGCCATGTTTTACAGTGCCAATGGGTTTACTCTCATTTCTCCTTCTGATCTTATTTGTCCTGGACAATGGGCAAACCATATACAGTCCTATTATTTTTACCAACAGCTTTTATCAGTGGCAAATGAAGGCCCTCAGGATAAAGTCCAACTTTTACCAGTTTTTGTAAATAAAGTTTTGCAGGGGCTAAGGACACGGCTCAGTGGTAAAGCACTTGCCTGGAATGGGTTCAATTCCCAGTACACACACACACACACACACACACACACAGTCACTGTCATGCTGTATATGTGTATGGACTAGCTGCAACAGAGACCAGGATGGCCCCCAAAGCCTACCATATTTACTATCTGGTATTTTACAGAAAGCATTTGCAAACCCTGCCCTATCTCATCCATTTGAGTACTATTGTTATCTCGGCAGATACGATAATGTTCTTGCCTTCTTCAATAAGATTTCAGCAGGTATTCAAAACTCATTATATAACTCCGATCAAACTTATCCAGGAGCTGGGACAGGGGATGCATGTGACAGGCACTCAGTGCATGTTTGCTGAACAGGTACTTCTTTTACATTAATGTATGAAATCTTATTAACCAAAGGTAATGAAAATGCTATGAAGAGAACTGAGAATGAATGGAACATAACTAAATTCCACACAAGAATCTTTTTTTCAGCCAGGCGCGGTGGCACACGCTTGTAATCCCAGCAACTCAGGGGGCTAAGGCAGCAGGATTGCAAGTTCAAAGCCAGCCTCAGCAAAAGTGAAGCACTAAGCAACTCAATGAGACACTGTCTCTAAATAAAATATAAAATAGGGTGGGGATGTGGCTCAGTAGTTGAGTGCCCCTGAGTTCAACCCCTAGTACCAAAAAAAAAAAACTTTTCTCAGGCTCCAATGATATGGATAACTTAGGAACATGAGTTTAACAACAAATGGAAATGTAGTCTTATGGGCAGTTTAAATCTGATGATGATCACATGCAATAAATGAGTTCCATAAAGAGACCAAGGCAGGAAAATGCTGACTTAGCAGATATTTTAAACGATAGAAAAACATAATCTTACATTCTTTAGGACTTTTTAGTCTATGAGACATCTCTGCAACCATTCTTCATTCTGGCCACTGCTCTAGAAGATTAAGTAACTTCCAAAGTTTCATAGGATATGGCACAAATGTCTAAACCTTGGTCTTCAGAGTCTTTGCTACATTTCTTTCCACATCCTCCAGTACCCCACTGTTACTTACTTGGGTTTAGAGGACATACCAGGATGCTATCACTGATCAACAACTGGCATTCCACATTTCTATCAT